GGCAATCGAAAACTGACGAAAATTTCTGAGACCTCCGCGGCTTTTGAAATCTTGCCCTGGCCCGAAGGCCTATGGTACAGTGTACATCTGGAGTAGTGCTACCAACGTAGCATAGCCGTAGCATACCTGCGGACGCAGTCAGGGTTGTCCATTGAGTTTAAGAAAATTTGGGACAAGCAGAGATCATTTTTTTTTTGTTGGAAATCTGTCAAGAAACGGTTGACCCGGTACGTACCTTCGTCCCGTCCTCTTGTTTAACATCTTGACAACAATTTATGCAAGTTTTTGTTCTAGACAGTTTCCTATTCGGTTGAGAAAAATAATGAAGCCAGGAACTGTTAGGAATCTTTTACCCTGCATAGGCTTGCCCACCTTTAACTTCCTTTCACGCTTTTTTAAATTTAAATTAACCCTGCAAATCAATAAAGTAAACACTAACCGTTTACGAATTCCATTCCACTTGAGATGGGAGGTGAAAATGTGGTTCATTATCGGCTTCATTGAATTAAAGCAACTAACATACAACAATCGGAGAATAATAACCAAATTATTAATCGAACCGTGTCTTTGACATAGAGATACAGTTGTATGAAAAAATCATGCAAACGAGAAAGTAAGTAGTTCTTAAGGCACAAAGATACTAGGCCTTCAATATCGAAACTGTGAGCAACAAAAGTGATCATTGTGCTATGCCCCAAAATTTTTTTAACTGGCGAACCCGAACAACAGATAGAAGCGCGAGCAGTAAAAATCACAGGCACTCAAAGCTGAGCAAACTGAAAGAATGATCTGAGTAACAGTGGAATGAGATGGCTGAGCGCGAGAGGGAACGCGATCTTCGTACCACGATAGTGAAGCAATATCCTAGGAGAATAATGACCTATTTGGAGCTATTGCTCCACTGGACGAGCCACGTCCACGGTTCGAACTCGTCCTGCTCGCCGCGACGACACTAACTCTTGATCATCCTGTAAACATCAGTAAATACATAATTGAATGCTAATGATTATTCTCCAACTTCTCTCTTCTTGTAACCTCGGCATGTCAGTTGTGAGTTTAATAATTTTCTTGTGCCTTACGAGGCTCGAGGTTGCAACCTGTAAGGCACAAGAAAATTTATTAAGCTAATGATTATCTTCACCAAAACCAAATACTTCACGCCTGAGGAGGAAGGAGAGAAAGAGCAAAACGACAACGGTCATAAAAAGAGCTGTGAAAAGCTAAAGAGAGGAAAACAAGAAAGTAATGAAGGAAACGGGGCATAGACAAAAGCAAAAATAAGAGAGATTGAAATGCAAAAGAGAAAAACTTGATCGCAGTAACAGTGCTGTACCAAAACAATGTTACTTAGAAATCCAAAGGAAAAAAGGAATGGCAGAGAGGGAAACGGAGACACATAAAACGAGAAGGACGAACACAACCCACAGAACCGGGAGTTGTAACAGCATGAAGGAGAAGAAGTGAAAAAAAGAAAATATCGGC